ACGTAAGGGACTTATTTTCTTATCTTTCCTATTCTACCTCGAATTTTGATGAATACGCGGGAGTCGAGATGCTCACTTGTTTATTTATTGGTCGGACGAATGTGTCCGTTCACGAAAGAGGTACGTATGTTTTTAGGGAGCCAAGAAGGGACTAGGCACTAACTTATGTTTTGAGTCAATTTTCTGTTGAAGCTGAGTCGCATGGTTAAACTTAGTGTCCTTGTTGAAGATGTGTCACCGCTGGCGCGTGGTTAAACTTAGTGTGCTTGTCGATCGGCGCAGGGCCTTGCTTGGGAGATCAGCACCCCAAGTGGCGGTTCATGTGTACGTTCGATTCGGGCGTTAACCGCGCGTACCCACTATGCTGCAGCGAACGAGAAACACCCTCAGTCGTCCCACCACTGCGATTGCATGCAAAGGCTTTCGTACTGTGGACTGGTAGCTAGGCAAAGATACGCCCGCCGAAGGGATGGTGACAGCTCCCGTAGGTGGAGGTAAGTTGTGCCTCGCGTGACCTCTATCCTATCGTAGGGTTTAGCAAGAGGAACAGTTCGCGCACTCAGCCGGAGCGGCAACACTCTGCAAAGAAGTCCTGCAAAACATCTTGCCTGACGCGGCCAGGAGGGTCCCCTTGCAGGACCGATGCGCTCTATAGCGCACGTGCAGGAAAGCTTACAGATACCCCAACAAAGACGAAGCCTGCAGCTGTGTAGCCATGCGCTGATTGAGTGCGCGGTTGACGCTCAAGTTTTTGAGCACCGCTCAATCCCGCGCTCAAAGCGCGCTTGAGCAAGGTTTCAGAGGGGGAGTTCTTTTTTCTCATGTAAAGAATAAGAGGGAAAAAAAAAAAAAAAAACGGGTATAGATCTTTGTTTAAACTACAACCCCATATGTTTTATGGTATTTTTTGAAGTTTTTCTATATTAAAAAAAAATCCAAAACATAAAAAGAAAGAATGAAAAAAAAAAAAGATGAAATGGGCGAGTTTTTCTTTTTTTTTTCACAGAGATTGTTTCACCTTCTTCCGGAACCATCTGCCTTTTAATTGAAGAGGTGTGGTGAGACGCTGCAATCTGAGACTATTCTTAATGCTGATCTGTGAGTTGCAGCCTCGTAAAACTCTAATGATGTCTCATGAAGTTCCTCGAAATCTGAGGAAGTTAGCAGAGATTTGATGAGGTTTGAACTTTGAAGAGATTTGATGGGATGTGTGGAGAGGGGCTGCTGGGTTGGCAGCCCGCCCATTCAAGTATCTGGACATTACAACACCCTAGTATGGGCTATGACGGACGAAGCAGAAGCACGCCCGGCGCCCGCACGTGATCTCACATTACACCGAGCAGTGAGTGCAAACCTAGCACTGAGCGCTCTCGGTTCTGCCGGTGGAGTTGCCACCGTAACCGGTCACTCTCCTACAGCTTCTGGTGAGCCGTGGTGTCAGGTGGTGACACTGCACTCTATAGCGCCCAGGGGTGCTTGGCGCCGCCCCCCTCCCTCGTGCCTGTACATAGCAGATTGGCTTTGGATGAAAGAACATATGTGACTACCAGCAAGGCTGAGCTGCCTGAGCAAGCAGGCCCCAAGCTGAAATAGTGGCATCCCCGATTTTTTTTGGACTTTTCTTCCTTTTTTTTTTTTGGGAAAACTAGGGCGCAGTCAAGGTTTTCAGTTTTAAATGCGTTTCAGTCACGGCTTCATGAATTTTGCTCCAAACGGAGGAAAATCGTGAATGTATCCAACCCAGCTTTAGGGTTGGGTGGGGATGTGTTGTATTCGAGGGATGCCTGAAGTGGATTTAGAACTCAAAACGTGACTGCGCCCTAGTTGCCCCCTTTTTTTTTTTTGAAATAGAAAAAAAACTTACAAAAGGCTAATTCTTTTAAGCCCAACCAATTCAATTACCTGTCAAATCCGGACAGGAAGGGCAGAGTTTCTATTTTCATTATAGCATTACGGGGAACCCCAAAGCAGTCAGCCTGAGTTCAAACCTCCAATGGAGGAAACACGTGGGGGCTGCACCCAACCTGCAGGTGGCTGAGGTGGGCTATACTCGCCAGGTGTCAACCGGTAGCATCAGGACTGAGATTCTTTGATGGGGCAGCGGCTGTGCCTCCCGTCGGTCCCCTCTCCCTACGAAAATCAGCAGTCTCTGCTCAATGCTGCTCGGGGGGACCAACGACCTATCTCTAGGTGGCGGGCGCCAAGCTTGCCCAGGAAGGTACACGAGGCCAACGGGGATTGAACCGAAGATCTCCCGAATGCCACTTGCGTGCCGCCGTGCCCTACCAACTGAGCTAGGCCGCTAGATTTTCTGGCATTTTCTGATTTATCGCCAGAGACAGATTAAGCGCTTTGCATGTATGAGGCCCTTACCAGCACCAAATATTTTGAATGCATGAGACCATTACCAGTTCCAAATACATTTGGGATGTTGGGAAGTGGAGCGAGACCCAACATTTTCTTCCTTTCGCTTCCGTTTCTGTTGTTTTGTGGATACTGCTTTGCTGGTGCCTGTCTCAGGTCGGCCTGCAATAGTGCAGTTTGCTGGTCTCACCTTCGTCTGCACTGTGCAGCTTCGTTTCGGGGCTGACTCTGGACAGAGGGCCCGAGGCTGTCCAAATAGAAGTGCACACTTGCGCCATGTGAATGAACGGTGCTCATGTCACTGTTTGTAAACACGGCAGAGTTCGAATTGTGAGAGTCGGGGCATACTCACACTAGCCTAAGGACTTTTTACTTATTTTCGGACAGAATTGTGAACAGGTGCATCCAGGCCCGGCTGTAAATGCGGTCATAGTGCTGGTGTGAGTACACCCTCAGATGTTTGAAAAAGTACAGAGCTCAGCCCATGGCTAAACTGTGCCTGAATTGTACATGGATGGATCTATTGACGGGCAGTCTTGAGATCGGATCCTGCGCTGATTACCAACACACACTCTGGGACACTCTATCTCATTAGGCCTTGCTCCACCACTTTGCAAAACGAGAATGGATTTCAGCTAGAACATGTTGATGCGAGGATTGAGCCCCTTGGCTGTACCATGGTAAGGTTGCGTCCGCCATAGGTGAAGGCGGGCCTGAAATTTGCGGCCCTGGGTTGTCGTGCGGCCTGTGAGCCAGTGAGAGCAGAAAGCTAGGCCCATAGGACGTTGCTGCACGCAGCATCTTCATGCTGAGGCTCAGGGCTCAGAGAGTTAGCCCCCAGGCACATTCCGGAAGGGGCCCGGGCACGTCGTACTACTGGGACGGGGCGCAGCCGATCCAGGCCTGCCTCTCCCATCCAGCCAGAACAAAAGGAAGAGCCTCACACCCCTTCCTGTTGCTGGGGCGCTCACTTGCGGGAGGAGAGCCGAGCAAGAGGAGGAAGAAGGGCGCTGGCCTGGCGTGTGGAAGAAGCTGCGAGGGCTCAGCAGGCAGAATGCAGCAGCCAGAGCCGGGCTGCAAGCGTCATAGCTGGAGGAGGAGGGGTGGTTCTGGGCGATGGGCTGTGTCACCTGTGTGGGAACTTAAAGTTGGAAGTCAGGGGGAGGGGTGATGAAGCACTCACCTGTTGGAAGAGAAGTGGACCGTTTGAGTCAAATTGAGTGTTGTCCTCATGCGTAGTATGCATACATCGGGCTGATGATCCCATAGCTGACCTGTTGTAGATACGAGTCCAGGTCGACAGTCGTACGAGGTGTCTGTCTATGGTCCGCTTTTTTTTTTTTAACCTGCTAGAGATTATTAGGAGAGGAGCTAAGAGCTCACTCTCCTAATAACCACATGTGCAATCGCTCCATCTATTGGTGGGGAGCTGCACCTGTCTGTCTGTAGTCTGGGCGCCGACAGCCAATGTAGAAGAGCTACATTGTTGGCATTGGTGTTGGGAAGAGGGCTTTCATTATCATGTGGCAACAGTGGCATCAACGCTTTGCTCATACATACTTGGTCTTATCTCGGTTCGCAATCTACTTTCAGTTCGGGCTCAAAGTTAATATCTGGATTCCTATGGAATGCTGCAATTTCGTAACAGTTACTTTCGTTTATTGTCATTCGAATTACTAATTTCCTTGCAGTCTTGCAGAAAGATATGTGTGTGGTGCGTGGTAGAGCCAGCTCAGCCAGGTAAGTAAACAGGCCAAAACAAAAAAAAATGTGCAGCTTTACCCAATGTGCGTAATTGAGGGGACCTTTTGGACTGAACCCTGGACGTAATTGCATTCAAATTCATCAGCTTCAGGATTATTTTTGAAATTTATGTAAACTTGTAAAGCAATTTATTATAAAAGCCAGGAAGGGGGGCCGACATCCCTCATAAACAAAGGCTACCTTAAAGTTTACAAACGGGCCACGCACTTAGGGGCCGAGATCCCTTCTCCCCTCCCCCCCAAAAAAAATTGCTCCGATCTACTCGTGGGGAGCTAACGTGCTACGAAACATACACAGTGTCCCATTGGAAAGATAGCTGGGGCGAGGTCCCACTAGCAAATAGGATGGGATTAAACAGTAAAATCTGCACGTGTTTATGGACAGGCGCAGAAACTCGAGATTGAACTGCTTCGCTGCATCTCTGCATGGAAGGGTCCCCTGGCGGTACTAGGTGATGCAACAAGCTTAAGCCACTAGTACTCGGCCCACTCGTCGGCCGCGGCCCCTTGATGCTAACACACCGCATTTACCAGGCTTTGGGGCTACCAGACCACAATCATGGCTGGTGGTGCCCAAAAGAAACAAACAAATGTTGTCCTGGCGGTTCGACAAAGCTTGGCGTGCAGGCCCGCAGGGCGTTTGGAGCCCTGGAGGGAAGTGGCCTGGAAGTACTGGTGGACCGTGGTGGTATAACTCGTGAGCTGACCTCCATGACTGGCATGGTCGCCGCGGCAGGGCCGGGGCGCACCTTGGGACTTGTCCAGTTAATGCATTAAAAAACCTGACCGTGGCATCACATCTCGTCATACGGCAGATGTGGGCGGATCGTTCTACTGCCACACAAACCATTCTCAATTAAAATTGTGTTGTACCTTTGAAGCAGCTGTAGTCGAGGAGTTGAGAGTCTTGACACTGCTGATTGGCTCTGGCACATCTCTGACCATTTCAGATAGCACAAGGCTCACAAATATCCTTAAGATGTGGACGTGTTGCCGATCGGCCTGGTCCAACTGATCTGCATAGCTCTTAAACATCACCGATTGATATCTCTGGGTGATTCGCGTCACGGCCTTCAAATCGTTCGTATTAGTAATGTGCCAAGTCAGCACAGTCATGGTTCCCATCAAGGCAGCAACAACGACCTGCCAGCATACATGTAGCGAACAAGGGGGGTAAAAAAATAAGGAAGGAAAAAAAGAAGTTTAAACTGTCCATCCATCACAAGTAGTGAATAGGCCTCAACAAGAGGGTTAAAAATAAAACTTTGGAGCCTTTGACTCGAGCTCGGGCTAGAGAAAGAAGACATTTTTAGCAAGCACAAGACGAAGAAAGCTGGTTCTCTGACATTGTGACGGACCAACCACCTAAGCCTTTTAAACCGCCCAAGGGCCTCCCCCTGCCACGAAAAACCTTGGCCGACCAGTAGGCATTTTTTCTCAAAACGGCATCATGGCTGCCGGTAGTACGGCAGACTGCCATATGTGAAGTCCGCTTTGTCCCAGGCGGTGGGCTCGCCCCGCTTTTTGGTTTGGTGCCTCGCATTTGTCCGTTTGGCATGCGGGGTGGCGAACAAGTCAAATTGAAATAATGGAAAATGAAAAACTTAGAAAAAGTGCACAATTTTTCTTTTTTCAGTATTAATTTCTGGTTATTGTTCGAATTTTCACGTTGCTGTGCTGCTCCTCCATTTGTCGTGTTTTCCGTGCAGTTGTTTTTGCGATTGTCACGCTGTGTTGCCTCGACAGCATTGCCTGGTGCTTTGCTGAGTTGCTCACCGTTATGTTCCATTTGTCGACAGTCTGCCTTCAACAAGGGTCGAAGGGCTTATGACCCAAACCATTAACATGAGCAGGGGGTTGTGGTGGCTGTGACGGTTGGAGAGGACGCAATCTGCGGCGCAGGGGCTGGCCTGTACGGTTGAAATAGGGTACAACAGCGGTGGAGATGGTGGCTTCATCATGGTGAGACTTGCCGGAGTAGGGTTGGGAAGGATTTTTTGGGGGATATCTGCAACCAGTGCATGAAGGAGATGAATGATGGGATCAACAGCCATGGTGCTGATTGGTGGCTTGACTGGTATTTGCCTTAGTCCTGAGTCCCGGTGGTTTGCGAATAGACGAGGCCAGAACGACGCTGGTCGGTGCTGGGGCTTGGTCGCGCTGCCCCGTAACTCGAGCTGTACGAGAGCATGAGACCTGGTAGAGAGGTCTGGGAAGTTGTCGAGGGTGGAAGTTCAAGGCACTCTAGAGTCTAGTGTGTGTATTAGTGTCTTTTGGTGAACTGCTGCTTAGTCGATGCTGGCTGGAGCCGGGGCGGGTCGCTTTGCCCTGTGGCCTAGCAGGTGGGGGGTTTCTGTTTTCACTCTTTTTCAGTTTTTTTGGTTTTGGTACTTGTCTTGTCCACTGGTTGTTGTCGTTTCCCTGCCTTATGTGATTCAAGTGATCGTGTGTTGGGACACTGTTGTCTTTCCTCCCGCCTCCCCCGTGCCCTCCAGGCTCCAGCCTCTGTGTTGTCTCAAGTTTTTTTGCTCCCCCCGCCTGCCCTCCAGTCTCTGTGCCCTGTTGTGGTTTGTCATCCAACCGCACATTGCCTCCTTGCCCCTTGACTTGATTGTCTTACCTTTCCCTCTTCTTCTGTGTTTGTTTGTGGTGTGCTATTGTGTGTGCTGTGGGTCATATCACCACTGCATTTGACGCAATGATTCTCCGCCATAGTTTTCTCTTACCTTCCGAAGATGGATAAATCTTTCCCACGCCTACAAGTATTTTTCTTTTGTTTTATTCAGGCTTTTCTTGCTTTTTTTTTTTTTTTTTTTTTTTTCCGCGTTTGCCTTCGCTGCCATGCAGGAGGCAATGTGGACTTCCGGAGTGCCGTTTCATCGACGTGTGTGTCACATCTTCACAGGCCTGCCGACATGCAGCAGCATGTCGTCCTGACGTGGAGATGAACCAAATTGAACGTGACTGACTAAGTGACAGCGACGAAGGATACGGTTGGAACGATCCATTTTCCTCCATACCCCGACAGCGACCCTCCATCTGCAGTCACCATTGTCGTGTGCTAGCAGCCTCTAATTGGCCCTCTATCGTCCAGTTGTCCCAGCAGTATTTTTTTGTTATTTTTATTTCGCCTTTTCGGATGTTGTCCTGCCATTTTCGTGTCTCTGCTCAGGCTGTTATGGCCCTTCCTGAACGTTCGCCTTCAAAAGGCTTCAAAACAACTTTGTGTCCACGAATCGCCACCTCTGTGTGTGTGTGTGTGTGTGTGTATGTGTGTGTGTGTGTTTGTGTGTGCATGTGTCTCTCTCTCTCTCTCTCTCTCTCTCACACACACACACACACACACACACACACACACACACACACACACACACACACAACCAACAAACAATAAACAATATACACACAAAGAGACACACACACAGGTGACACACCACATACACTAAGACACCAATCCGCACACCTGCGCACAATCTTAAAACAGGCCCCATAAATCATAACACTCCCATAAACGAAAAAAAACACTTAACCCCCACCTTGGTCCACCTACTGTCGTTCATATACACAGCGTATTACACGCTGCTACCCTTAAAACAGGCAGCCGACCCAAAAAATTGCCCCCCCCTACCTACCCATACGGTCATACCACCACACCCACACACATCACCCCGTAGGACCAACCCTTACCAACCAACCCCCTCCACATTTTTCCAGGATTTCACATCTGGTGTACCTGCCTAAACGGAACACAAAAAAAACCTCACCCCCAAGCATGTTTTTCCAGCACTGACGCAGCGACACCCACAAAAGAAAATCCCCCCAACAAATCCCTTCCCCCGAAGTCTACACATAGGACAACACCTCAAAATGACGCCGAGAGCTGAACTCCACGCATCTGCCACATACACCAACGCACTCCACTTCCACATCCCACTCCCCCATACACACCCCTGCCCTCGGTTGCCACCCAAACACTACACCTTCCCCCGCCTGCTCCCATAGTCCCCCACTCAGAGCCCCCATACCCTGTCACTTGTCGCCACCTGTACCCCCCACTCACCTCCCATCACCCTCTTTCTATACCCTCTTTCCTTTACTTAATCGTACATCCACTCGATAGGGATCCTCAGAACTCGGTGCAGTCTGGTTGGATCCCATCATCCCACACATCGATTTGGTCTTACCAGCTCCTTCCTACTCCAAGTCCATTCCTCTCTCTCTTCCGCCCCTCCCATCCTTCTCTTCTTCCTTCTTTCTCTCTCCTTTCTACTCTCTACGCAGTGCATTTGTGTGGAACTTTACCCGCCATAGCCTGTAAAGGGTGAAGGACATTGCCTTCCACATGCTACAGCCATACCCACCTATTACCCTGTACAATCGCACAGTGCATAGCAAGCTGGTTCCCTTCCTGGTCAGCAGCAACGGTCCTATGATCCTGGACATTCTCCACATCTGGTGGCAATCTCTTGAGGTCTGAACGATGGCCACCTCCAATCTCTCTCTCTCTCTCTCTCTCTCTCTCTCTCTCTCTCTCTCTCTCTCTCTCTCTCCCCCCCCCCCCCCCCCCTCCCCCCCCAGACCTGAGACCTCTTTATGCTCTGTGCAGGGAGGAATAAAGTGTGTGCATGAGATGGTGACGCATTCCTGCAACAGGGCGACCATGCTGGAATCAGCTGGATGATGGAACCAGGTAAGGGTTTTCTTGATGCTGGGTTGCTATGGTAGAGTTACGCTTGTTTACACACACACACACACACACACACACACACACACATGCCTACAGGGACCCCCCCTCCTTCCCCCCTATAAGGGGAGGGGAAATCGGGAGCGAAGACCAGTCACAGAGATCCTACGAGGACGGTAGCAGCTGAACCCTGACCTGAGGAGAGGTAGCCTACCACCCTTACGGATCAACGGGAGGTACGAGCCCCCCGAGGACGTTGTCTGACCTTGCCCCAAAAACCAGCCGGAAGGGGTGCCGTCTCTAACAGCCTAATAATTGTCTTCTTCCTATTTTCCTGAGTTTTTTTGCCTGTTTTTTCTGTTTTTTCTGTTTTTTCTGTTTTTTTCTGTTTTTTCTGCGTTCCCTGTTTTGTCTGCTTCTTTTGTCCTTTTTCTAGTTTGTCCGTCTTCCGGTTCCCCCCACTGCCTCCCCGACAGAGCAGTGGTCTCGGCAAGTGGCGGACTCGCTTGCAGAGACGCGGGAGATACCCAGGGAACTACCAGAGAAGCACAGGTTACGGACCACCGATGCCCACTCTTGGCAGGAATCGATCCCAGGAGCTGGAGCATCGCACGAGGTCATATCAAAATGCGCGGCTGTCAATCATCCCAAATTTGAAGAAAAGGAACGAATTCGCGCACCCTCCCGCCCGTGATTTTGAAGAGAGATAGGAGAACCCCCTCTGTTCTTTTTTTCATTTTTCATTTTTCTTCTTTTTTTCACCATTTGATCTTTTTTTCTTTTTTGCTGTTTCTCTCTTTTTTCTTTTTTCTTTTTTCTTTTTCCTTTTTCTTTTTGTCTCCCCCCTTTTTTCCCCCCCTTTTTTTGTTTTTCTTTTTCGTCTGTGGTCTCGGACTGCCGTCCCCGTTTTTTCATTTTTTGAATTCCCCCCCATTTTTTCTTTTTCTTTTTCTTTTTTCCTCTTCRTTTCATTTTTTCCTTCCCCCACCTTTTTYCGATTTTTCTGGTTCTTTTRTCCTATGCTCGCCCCCTTCCCCCYGTTTTTTRTCGATTTACCACCATGCCAAGCCCACCCTGTCACGTCACGGAAAGCCACCRGCATCAAATAGACTTAGGGAGGAGCGATTGCGGAATCAAAGAGATACGGTCATATCGTCACAAAACGACTACGGATCAAGGGAAGGGTAAAGTGCTGAAAACAGGCCAGATGCAAGCCGACTGACGCAAGTCACAGGAGGAAAAGCGGCTGTACGACGTTTATCACTCGGACAGCAACAACAAGGGTCATGTCCTATGCAGGGTATAAAAACTGGGATCGGGCAC